GTCTCCAGATGTTGCCAAGTGTGGCCTGGGGGGCAAAACTGCAGGCCGTTGGGAATCAGTGCTGTTAATACCCAGGCTCACAGGTCAGCACCACGCCTCCTGAACTGTATTTTCTTCCTCCTCCTCCATCACGATACAAATCAAAACACCTTTGACTACACATAAGTCAAAACCACACCAACAATGACACACATTTTCTGGAAGATACTGAAGGGACTGCTTCTGACAAGCAGCCAAACACTTATTGCTGCCCCTGCAAACACTGAAACAAAGGCACAAGCAGACAGATAGGAGGAACACATTTGTTTCTTGCTCAAGGTAATAAGAAAGCACCTTTCTGCTTCATCTCTCTCCTGTCTTTCAGCAGCACTGGGGTGCCACTGACAGACCAATAGCTGACCCTGGGAAAGTCACCTGCTGAGCCCCTGCCAGGGCGGGACTGGGACACTTTAGGTGCAGTGCCAACACCTCGGGTAACGCGGGTACACAAACACGTGAACAGTGCAGGTGCAACTTAATTTCAAGGTCCATTAGCAGCACAAAGGGAGGGAAACTGCACTTTCAAACGTAGGCCCTGCAACTCAGCAGGGACATTTTTCATTTTCAACCTTCAGATGCTAGGGATAACAAGTATGGTTTTTCGTTTGCGAGCAACATCCAAGTTCAAATACACTGCACGTCAACCCCAAGTACAAGACTCCGTTGCACGTTGAGACTGACGTTTGGAAAACGCAAGGCTGTCTGACGGTCAATTTGGACTCAGTCTCAGAAAACATCCTCTCAACGGGGTGCCTGCATTTTTGTTTTTGTGACTGTGTTTCCCGAGTCACCTGGCAATTGTAAGCAATCACAACACAGGGGATGCTATCATCATGTTCTGCCTCTTAGTGAAAGCTGGCCAGTTATTCAGCTGATGTTGAACAACAATATATGCTGAGAGTGTAAATAAATACATGCCCAAGCGCATGCACTCACGTGTGCCCACGCTCCTCCCTCCCCTCCCCCACCACAGAGAGATAGGCAACGTCCCCATCCCCACAAACGATTACAATCTAGAGTTGTAACCATCACTCCGTAAAGGCTCTACAGCATCAAGTCATCCATGGGAAGATGAGTCACGAGAGACAAAAACGGGGTCATATTTCTTCCGTGGTGTCTTCTGGGGTCTGAGAAAGGGCAAGGAAATACCAAGTCGCACTTCCAAGCAAATCCCTACACGTATAAATGCAGAGGAGGAGTTATGAGGAGGCACTCCCCTGCAGACGTGAAACAGATGCTCTCCCCTCCAGCATGATCCAATCCAAGTGGACAGCATTTACTGACTACCTTCAACAACCAGGCTTTACCCGAGACACTGTGGGCAAAACGAGGATAAAGGCGGACACTCTCAGTCCTCAGGAGGCAAGGATGTTCACTGTTGCACACCTGGACTCTTTACCTTTCGTCCACATCAGTACATGGCCAAGAGTGGCAGATCCAATCCTGTTCACTCTGCTTCATAACTTAAGATCACAAATCCGGAGAAAAGCAGAATTGGTCGCTCTAAAACACTAACGCATCATTCTGAAAGAAGATGATTTTGACAAAGGCGCACTCAAGTTCTTTCAGGGATTAAACCTGGAGAAATCATGATTGGTTGAAAGGTGTTTTGTTTTTTTTCCCCCAACCTGTTTCTTCATTTTTTTGATTCCCCTTCCTCTTCCATAAGATCAACAGGCCTCAAAAAATGCAGTTCAATACTGATTCTTGATTTTCATAAAGTTCATTTCCACGTAAATTTCTCTAGGGGAACATTCATTTCCACATAATAAAAGAGCCCAACAGGAATAAATTCGGAAAGGAAAGCCATTCTGGATGAAAGCCACACAGAACACAGCTAAGGGAGAAAGGAAAGGGGACATACACACAAACGCACACACACACATCCCCTAAAGAAAATAAATTCAGGGAATTCTTCTTCAACTGCCATGGTACCCAATTTAGATGCAGTTTATAGCCAACTGGAAGATACATCAGCGAGCAATAAGACACAACAATAAGCAACCAGAAGCATCACTAAGCATACGACAGCAGAGCAAGCAGTAAAGACACACCAGGGAGAACATTTCTGGGCAATTACCACATGTCTTAATGCAGAAAGGGAAAAAGAAAAACCCCACTCGACTAGGACTGGAACTTTGTAAAAACAAGCTCTCTCACAACTCAAGAGCTACTCCTGCTACAAGAGGGGTGTGAGGATGACCAGCATGGCCCCGGATCAGGGAAAAGGCAAAAAAGCAGTGACAGCTTGACAGTGAGCTAGGACCAGGGACTTAAGTGCCTGTCCTTCCTTCTGGCACCCTCATCTGCAGACATGGCAAATAAAAAATATACATTGGCTATTTCACAAGATATAAAGGACCCTTCAACCTCTGGGGGAAATGAAGGAGGATGCCCACATTCTTCACATCATGTCTGTGTTCACTGTGGCCAACAGTGTCTGGCGAGGGGATGAATGCACACACACGCACAGAGGGACTGGTTTTGTTGTTTGCTTGTTTGCCTTTGAATATACAGGTCAGCCAAAGGAACAGACACTTAGACATAAAGAACTTTCTTATCAGACAGAGTATTAAATATTCCAGGGAACTGTCAGCTCTCTAGGTACCTCCTAAGAAAATGGTAGCACATTTCTTCTAGACTCACCCATTTGGGATGACGTACAAATGGAAGCAAGAAAGAAGGAGCAACGCCATCTCTCCTTTACAAGGTACTGGGGGGTCTTTAGCTGAGCTAGGGGATTCCAGTACCAAAGGTCCCCCTCCCCAAATACTTACACTCATAAAACCACCTAGTTCTCTGAGATGTTGAGAAGATTAAATGAAATCACATGCCTTCAAGGGTCAGTAAATGCACTGGGATTTACTGGATGGTTGCTGGTTGATAGTTTCCTCTCCTTCTTTCCAACTTTTTTTTTCTGGGTCACAATCCGTTTCTCATCTGTATCTCTATCAATTGCCTCCATTCTACCCAACTTCCATGTTCACCTCCGACTGTCAGAAGCCTTCCACAGTCACCCTCTGCTTCAGGTGACCACAGTTTATATTACTTTATGCATGCATATTATCTTCCTGGTTGGCTAGTAAGAATCTCGAAAGTATGGAGTGTGACACACATGAAAGATGCAAACGAGTAAGAATGAGGCTAATTATCCAAGGCATATGCTAAATGCGCTCCCTTTTCCCAAAAAAGAAAAAACAAAAACAAATACAAAATACTCTGGTTCTAAAAACATTAGAAATACAGTACCAATGGCACATACTTCTAAAGGAGCCCCACTCAGAGCCATTGACTTCGAGAATGTTCTCAGAGAGATGTGTTAACCAAGTGACCCAGTTCAATACACAGGGCTGGGATTCCACCTGCAGAAGTAGCCACCACTTCTCACCCATTTCATTCCCGCAGATCTACCCACAATTTGTTCCCTGGGACTTGCAGCCCTGGCAGGGAAGTCTCCCTGCGAGCCTGGCACACCAACGGCACAGGCAGAGCAGTGAGATCCCTTCTCAGGGAGGAGCAGGACAGCAGGCGTGTTGACACAGGCCCAACGGGACAGAGGCAGTGGGAGGCAGCACTGTTGGAGGCAGCAGCGCGCCCCTCCCCACCCCCGGAAGTACGGTCACGCAGAACTGCCATGCATCCAGATAGGACCTTTTCGCAGCACTCCCTACCAGGAACAGGGGTGGAGGAGTGCAGACTGGAGAGGCCTGGGCTCCACTTATTAATAAGCAGCTCGACACAGTGGGAGGCTTTCTTGTCTCATTACAGAAGCTGTGGGAAACTGCAGTGAAGACTGGATTCATGGCCAAGGAGACACCTCTGTGTTGTAATTAAAAGTTATTTTTAATACCTTTGTTTGGTGGGATACTTTGGATTATTAGAAATCTATTTTGCAATTTAAAACTTGCTAAAGGGCAAAGAACACAGAAGAAAGGTGATACAACCAGCTTGCTTAACGTGAAACAATTAAATGTTTTGATGCTGGGAGGTAGGAATGGAAATGAATCTCTCTCCCACTTAAGTGTATGAATCTCCCATGAGAAAGAGGGAGAAAGAAGCCTAAATGTATACGAAAGTAGAGTTTTAAATTTTCAAAAGTAATCCAGCTACTCATTTTATCCATTAACTAGAGTTTGGATACCACCCCACCAGGAAGATAGACAATGCATTCACAGCCATTCACCCAAACCACCTAGTCCTGATCCTCAGCTCTTCACTTTATCCCAGGTCCCCAGGAAATGACAGTGGTCATCCTAACAAGGGTGCGTCCTGGCTCAACCACAAAGGTCCAGAGGCCAACGCCAAGACAGTGTGACAGGAGATGGGGGGTTCCAACGTGAACTGTGGACAATACACACAATGTGTGATTTGGGTTTTGTTTTTAAATTCATTTCTCTTCTTTCATCCAAGAGTCCAGAAGGGGCCAGACAAAAGGCAGTCCAGTGGGAACTGCATGGTGGTGTGCCTGAGTGACCATGATCAGGCAGGGACCACTAATTGCCCAAGTGCCATTTCCAGAATTTCTCTTTCCCCAGATACACAAAGGAGGCACTTTCTGCAATGGTGGTGGTTCTTTAACAGCAGGGAGGAGAGAATCTATTATGTGAAACCAATTTGTGAAATTGATGAAAACGGGGCCGGGGAAGGGACTCTGCATGGCATGAGCTTCCCAGATCACCTCTGTATTTCCTTCATCCCTGCTAGGAATCTTCTCATTAAAAGTAATTCCAGGAGCTCATTATGTGAAATATGTCATAGAAACCACCAGATATTACACATCATGACGAGACCATAAAAGCATTTTATCATATTCAAAAAAAAATTTTAAATTAGCTTCACAGGGGCCCGACCGCATTTAGGGGATTATCATATACCGGTAAGAACCACTGTGCTCCTACATTCTCCTCCCAGCTCAAAGCAGGCTTTGACTCCACATTAGGGCATAGGATTGCGATTCTTACCTGCCACGTTAATTTTCTCAAGTGCTACCAAGCTGGGAACAGCTGTGGTGGAGTTGGTCAAGTTGGTTCCGGTGCCGTTGATTACAAGGTTGTCCACCTTTGACTCTAACTTGCCAATGCGCTGCAAAATGTTATCCAATAGCACAGCAAGAGTTTTCTTCAAATCTGTAAAAGAAAATGTACATAGTTCAAAAATTCTTTGGCCCCTGCATATTTGTCTGGTGAATGCACGCCCATGCCCGCCCGCTCGCTCTTTACTTCTATCTCCAACATGAAGAACAGGACTTGGCACAGTCAAAAAGCACCACGTGAAGACCTGGCCTAACAAACCACATCTTAAAGACAGAGGCCACGTTCAAGTGGCCCAGAGGGTATGAAACACATCAGTCTGTTCTGCAATACAAGTTTCGCAGTAAGTGACAAAATTATTTCTGGCTACTCGGCTGAGAGAGAAAATTCTTTCAGCATCCTACCAAAGCACTGGATCAAGTTCTTCCTCCTGTCCACGTGGTGGTTACTGACACACAAAATGGCAAGCCCAAAGTACAGCAAGGTCCTGAAGTAACTTCTGGATCAAGTTCATTGGTATTTTTAGTGCTGTATACTCTAGTATGTTCTGATTTTTTGCAAAGTCTTTATTTCTGTTGGGAATACTTAATAGAAGCTACAGTTTCAGATTCTAGGCATGCTGGATAACTTAGAGTTTAACTATATTGAGATTTTGGAAGACACTTAATGACAGATTCATTCAGTCGAGAAATATTTATTGAACAACTGCTATGTGCCGGGCATAGGTCTAGAGGCTCGGGCTATTTTCTCGTGGTGATTCCCTTTCTTACGTATCTGGCTGTGGGTTACAGAGAAGTACACTTCTCTCTGGATAAATTACAGACACATTAGCCTCATGCCTAGATGAGTATTTACTAAGTTTGTACACAAGGTATTCCACACACACCAGAAGAGATTAATTTGGCCCCCTCTCCCCTGGAACTCATCAAAGAAAGATAGTCCAACTTGTGCACGTGAGAAAGATAGAAGGCCAACAGGATAGCCACCTATGTGGAAAGAAGCCAGACTCACTTATGAACTGGGAGTGGGCCAGGGGAGAGGGTCACAGTGTGGGTACCAGGATGCAGAGAAGTTGGGAACTAAGACAAATGGGAAGTTGCCACCTTCTGTTCCACTGGGAACAGAGCAATCGTGTTCTGAGCAGGTGCTCTGATTCCTCCCAGAAAGAAACACACACTGGATCAATCCACCAACTTCAGAGCACAGGCAATGAACCTTGGCAAACAGGCACCCAGGCTTCCTATTTTGCCAGCTCAAGAGAGAAACTCACCAGAACGGAAACAAAGACATGTAATTGACATAGACATTTGTGTCCTTATAGGTTTACAGACAGCACCACTGGAGCGGACAAAAACTACCAACAGAAACAGAACCCATATCCTTATCCTGAAAGTCTGGTTCCAAGTGCTTGGCATAATCTCAATCTCCTCACCATTTCCCCAACACCAAACATCAGACGTCTTCACGATGTTGAGATCTGTAGTAGTTTGTTCGTTCACACATTTTAAAAAATACTTGACCAGGCTTATTTTCTGTTCTTCGGTGTGTACCTTACTTACAGGCAGTAAGACAAGCTGGCCATGACATTAGAGCAACAGGCTAAAAATATGATTACAACGAAGAGTTCCTGAAGGCCTGTTACATGCCATGCACATATATAAGGAATTCCATTTACCTCCACATTCTCC